GGTCCCCCTCTTGTGCTTATCTAATTCCCTTTTGAAGCCGTCCATGCTTGTAGCCGCCACCACCTCCTGTGGCAGTGAATTCCAAGTGTTAATCATTAAATGAGACTGCCAAAAATAAAAGCAAAAGGGGTAAAAACAGAGATTGCTAATGATCTTTAACTTTAGATGGGGAGGGAGGGGAGAGAGAGAGAGAGAGAGAAAGAATGGAAGAAGGAAAGGAGGGAGGGAAGGAAGGAGATGGGGGGAGGGAGGGGTGGAAAGAAAGCAAGGAGAAGGGAAGACCGACCAGGGAGGCATGCCCTCCCCTTTGCTTCCCCAGCCGCTCTGGTGGGAGCCGCACAATATATGTGAAAGAGCCGCATGTAGCTCCCGAGCCACAGTTTGGCCGCCCCTGGCTTAGAGCCTCCCTGGCAAGTGCTTGTCCAGCCGCTGCTTGAAGACTGCCAGGGAGGGGGAGCTCACCACCTCCCCAGGCAGCCGATTCCACTCTTGCACAACTCTCAACTGTAAAAATTTTCTCCTAAGATCCAGCCGGTACCATCCCTCCCTTAATTTCAAACCATTCGTGCGAGTCCTCTCCTCTGCTGCCAACAGGAACAGCTCCCTGCCCTCCTCTAAGGGATATCCCTTCGAATACTTCAAGGGAGCAGTCGTGTCCCCCCTCAGCCTCCCCTTCTCCAGACGGAACATTCCCAAGTTCCTCAGCCTTTCCTCAGAGGGCCCTTGGTCTCCAGACCCACCGATCATCCTCGTCGCTCTCCTCTGCACCCACTCCATTCTCTCCACATCCTTTTGGAAGTGTGGCCTCCAGAACGGCACACAAGACTCCAGGTGCGGCCTGACCAATGCAGTGTACGACAGGACTCAAAAAATATCTGGCTAAGCCACTGTAGAAAATGGAATGCTGAACTAGACGGGTGCCAGAATCCCTTGGGCCAGCCTTGGATAGATCGTCATGCCAAGTAAAGTTGGACATGCAGGTCACCAGACCAAAAAGGTTGGGAACTGCTGGTCTAACTCCTGGAGAACCTGGTAAAATGGAATGCTGAACTAGACGGGTGCCAGAATCCCTTGGGCCAGCCTTGGATAGATCGTCATGCCAAGTAAAGTTGGACATGCAGGTCACCAGACCAAAAAGGTTGGGAACTGCTGGTCTAACTCCTGGAGAACCTGGTATTTGTGCATGAAAATAACGCCATTGAGAAGAATAAGAACATAGGAAGAGGCCTGCTACATAGTCCGTCTAGTCCAGCATCCTGTCTCACACAGGGGCCAGCCAGTTCCTTTGGAGCACCAACAACAGGGCAGAGAGGCCGAGGCCTTCCCCAGGTGCTGCCTCCTGGTTCTGGCATTCAGAGGCTTAGTGGCTCTGAATGTGGAGGTTCCCCACAATCACCATGGCTAGTAGCCATTGATCGACATTCTCCATGAATCTGTCTAATCCTTTTTTAAAGCTGTGTATTCATGTGGCCAGCACGAAATCCTCTGGCAGCGAATTCCACA